GCTTGAAGATGTTTAACAGGTACGGAAATTGCAACGCTATTATATAATTACTCTAATAAACGAATATCTACTAGTTTGACTGCTAAAGGCTTTTATATAATTTATATAAAATAACAATTGTATTCAAACCGTTTTGATTATTTTCTTTTTATGTTATTTAGATTGTCCTCTCTGTTTTGTTTTCACCGCCCTACTTACGTTTACAAATATAATCTAACTAACAATCTACCGCAGGAAGAATTAGTACTAGTATTCAGCGGTATTGCTAAAAAAAAGCGCGGGCATATGTAAAATAGCGAAATTGGTCTGTAATGCATACATTTTCATCGACGCACGTGATTTAAAATAGTTCATCCGTAAGTCCATTTTTTTAGGAATCTTGTAAAATTTTAATAGTATATTAATATAAATACCACATGTGTATGTATGTATGTGTGTGTAATCTACCCACATGTGCAATTAAAAAAAGATTGACTATACCGAAATTGAAATAATGGGAGTCAAAATTGGGCACTTTTTACATATATATATTGCAGATATAAAAACGACTTTTTATAACATGTTTCTAATTGTAGCGTTCAAATTACTTTTACGGATTTAATGAAAAACAAGATAATAAAAGAGATTTGTAAAAATATTACAAAAGTGTAAGATCTTTGATCGTCTAGTTTCGAAGGAATATACGTAAAGTATAATTTCTTATAGTGCGGCTGAAGAATATGACAGCTAACTTATGCAGATCTGGCAACATTATATACGAAGGTAGTCAAATGTGCAGTTTACATCGCCCGTTCTATAACAGTCTGATAAATGCGACGTTGTCACATAACACGGACATAGTCAAAACTATATAATATATTAATAATTAACTTTTAGATAGTATTATCACGAACTATTTTAATATGATTATGCGAGAAAGCTTGCGAATGTGCGAACCATCAGTGGAAAATAAAAGGACAAAAGAGAGAAGAAGATAAGAGGAGACGAGAGAGCAAGATAGACGCAAATGAACATATTTCTCTTTATACACAGGTCCGTCAACGAAAACTTTTCATCTCGATTATTCTGTAATCAATAGATTTTTTTCAAAAATGCCGATACATGTCAATATTGTTTTCAAGAGTATGATTATGATAAATTTAACTATCACTTCATCCCCTTAATTGGGATAGCTACTCCCCAAAAATCTTAAATAGCAATAAACGGTCAAATAATATATTATTTCAAAGCTATTTTAATTCTCTTTACAACGGCGTTCATTTTTTTTAATCTGAATTCATATTTTTTTTTAAATCGCATTTGAAAACTTTGAGTACGAAAAATTGAAAATTTACAATTTAAAAAGATTTATTTTAATATTTCTTTCTATTTTAATATTTCTTTCTATTTTAAATAATCTCTCAAATAAAATGTTCAAAGTACCGTCTACCAACCTCTAATTATTACAATTATAAAAAGTCTTTGTTTAAAATTGCTACGAACATTTTGAAGTATTTACTATGTTATCCGATAACACTTATTCACTATACGACGTAAATCTTCTAAGATTTTTTGCAAGGATTCTATTAAGATTGTTATTGTTTTGCTGACAACAAAAGTCACGCTCAGGAACAAACATGATCAAGAAATGGTTAATGCGAAAAGCTCTTATCGTTCTTTCTCTATTTAAACTACTTTATAAGATATCAGATTTTAGTTTTTCATTATCGATGCTTTTTATTACTTCATACGTGAAATTCCGTCCGGTTTCATTCAATTCCGTAGCGATATTCACTCTTTTTCAGACCCGCTCAGACCGATGTTTTGCTTCGTGATCGAACTGGTGAATCCTAAAGCTCCCCCAAATTGTGACGATATCTTTGTACTCATACTTATTATATGTACTTATAATTTTCAAGAAACATGTCCATAGTACTTATTAGCAAATATTGAAAACAACACAACAGTTAATATGTAACAAATATTGATATGTGATATGTATTAATACAGATGTAGTTGATATCCTCTTTCCCTCACGTTTTCTCTTTTCTGTCTTTTTATTAATTTTCCACAGATCGCACATTCACCAAATATTTCGTTGCTTTAATAAGATAAATATAAATGGTTATCTAATATTTCGTGAAACAGAATTAAATAATTTCATAACACCTACTAAATATCTGATAATAGTCATCAAATACTTGTAACAAATGTGCTAAATATTTGGTAACTATTACTAAAATGTTTAGTTCATTCGACTGTAATTAAAAGATCTTCATACATCAAATCTATTATGTATTTGGTTATAATATATATTATCATATTTAGTTTAATTATTCAATAATTACTTAAATTCTGTAACTCTAAATATATTGATTAGTAATAATTACCAGTCTTCTTTTTTTATATGAATAACATATAGCTATAAATGCAACAATGTTACAAAATTCGTTCACTTTTTTCAAAATGAAAGTATCAAAGACCTTACGATATTTACCTATTTCTCATAAAAAATCCTTTAATATCCTAAAATATATAAGAAATACCTATGTATATCATGTATATAATACAAGGTGTCTGATAAGAAATGAAAATGATACTCGTGTGTACATGTATAGATTAGCTTAAACTGAACACAAAGTATTTTATCATTTTACAAATAAGCACGTTTATCTTTTATAAATTGAAGAAGATTGATGAAAAATTGCGCGCAATCATTCACCGATCTTGTCCAATTAATAACTCAAAAATCGATGTGCTTATTATTTTTGTAAAATGGTAAAGGACTTTCTCGTTCAATCTGACGTAATGTACAAGCACACAATGGAAATCATACTTGCCGTCACACCTTGCACCACATAGCGCGCGACCATTCGCCAATCATCTTTAATTAATAATTCAAAATTTTACACGGTTGTTTGTAAAATGGTAGAGAAATTTTGTATACAGTTTGACCCTAATCTATACACGTACAGGAACATTTCTCCACTTATCATCGGACACTCTGTATACATAAATTTTCCTCGCAATTAATCGTGTCGGTCAATTAAGATCCAACAATAGTTCGTATATTATTTGGTACATTAACTCTTTACGCTGCGCTATGAAGCCTAAATTACGCTTGAACAACTCGTTAATGGTATTTCATAAGACCTACGATTAAGTGAATAATTCACAATTTAAGAAATTATATGCTTTCATGAACAGCATTGTGCGTGATATTATATTCTTTCTTGTGTGTGTGTACATTTTTATAATAAATAATCTTCCCCTTTCCACTCGCATGCACGTGCATACATACATACGCGGGACAATATATTACAAAATCTTTTGATTTCGCACTTTGATTTAAACTCCCGAGTAATCGCATCGGGACACGCGCGTGTGTCACGAGATACTAATTACCCGCATTTCTCGCGTTATACCTAGCACATCTATCATCTTCAAAGACAGATCGTACTCGAGCTCGTTCGCACAATAGCATTAAACCGCGTCTTTTGTGTGTTGCGCGTGACGCACGAAAACACAGTTCGCTTACGGATAAGGTAAATGTCCCAATAAATGAACTTTATCCCAATGATTGAAACATTAAAAGTATATTTATATTTAATCTCTAAAAAAATTTTTTGAAATTTCGTTACAAGATATTTCCTTTCTCTCTTATGCTCCAATTTATAATATTATTTAATGATTATTCGACATTACTAAATCTGCATTGTTCAGTAATTAAAACATGAATCATTTTTCAGTTCAATTACTTGTACAACCGACATTATCTAATATATCTTTCATTAAAATTATAATTGATATTTATTATTTTATTTCCTATTATTTCTCGATCGTTGATAAACCAAAATTTTATATAAAAGTTAGTTCTTTCGTAATTTCACTAATTACTTTTTAATAAAAATGCAAAACTACATTCTTATTAGTTTAGTTATTGGGGCATTTATCTTACGCTTTTTTACGAACTAAATCCTTATAGAATATATTTGTCTAATGAAAATTTCTGCGATTCTTGTGTGTGTACCTATACCTATACTTCGTCGTGACGTTTTGAATGGAATACGCGAGAAACGAGAGTACGACACGATCGTGCTCGAGAGAACCGCGTGCTCCGTTTTCTGCGATCTTCGCTGCTCCACTTTGTATTAATCTCTGATCATTGATCGCTCGCGACATCGCGAAGTCTACGCATGACATCGCGTCGAACATATTCTCGTGTAGAAATAAGATGTATTTTTCTTATCGACCTTTCTCCTAGGTACGTGCGTACCCACCATCGACTTTCTATGTAGCCTCCCTATAATTTACCACATTCAGATATTTTATCGATACAATTATAATTGATTTTGTCGTGCACGGAACAGTCCGGAAATGGCCAATTACCGAACGTTTTCTTTCAGACAAATCCCGTAGATTCTCACACAGTTTCGTGAAACGCAATCTTTTTCTTTATCAGCGACGTGTTATCTCTTCTTTTATGTTTATCTGTCTTGGCCTGCTGCCGTAGCTTTTCCAAAAGCATTCGAATCATTTACTCTTGAGATAATTTAATCAAGTTAAAATGGTGGTATCGATATTAATTTTCTCACACGCAGGTGACGTGCGATATATTATTTCACGACTTGCTAATGACAAGTAAATATTTGACCTAATGAACCAAATATCACGCACTCATTACGACAAACACCGACATATGAAATTGCTCGCATGGAGAGAGAAAAAGGAATCCATTCGCGTTCGTCGCAGCGAGATCCGCGCGAGAGTAAACATTGATAAGCATCGAGCGCGCGGAAGAGGTTGAGATCGACCTCGAGAGGTCACCGGAGTCGCGCTGGTCGGAAGCGGCCTAGCCTCCTTAGGTTACAATCGAAGACAAAGACAAGCGGAGGAAAAGAGAGTGGCGAGTTCACGGGAGGAAATGTGGCGAAGGGACGCGATAGAGAGGGGAGAGAGAAAAAGAGAGAGATAGAGACAGGAACGAGCCGCGCGTCACGAGATGTGGAATCGTGGCTTACCGTGCGAAAGGCTGTTCCTCGACCTCGTAGAGCTCCTCGAGGGTCTGCTTCGATAGAAGTCTCTCCAGTCTCTCCGGCGTGGGAGCGAGGTGCCCCGGGATGCTGGTCGGCTCGAACAGACTGTCCGCGGTCATGGCCACAGCTTGTGGTCTGTCAACGCGTGCAGGAAGATACCGAAATTAAACGGGAAATGCTCGCACCGAGACGACAACGACGTTTAGAGATCCCAGAGATGGGCGCACACACACTTGATAGAGTCCACGAGCGCGAGTCACGTTTTCTCGTAATCGCTCTTTCTTTCTTCCTTTCTTTCTTTCTTTCTTTCTTTCTTTCTTTTTTTCTTTCTTTCTTTCTTTCTTTCTCTCTCTCCCCGACTTCTTTTCCTCACTCACTTCGATCGCGTTTGCGTTTTCTCTCGCAGCGCAGCACAGAAAATCGGCGTCACTTGTCGCACGAGATTACGGCCGCGAAACACATCTCCATGTGAAGAAGGGACCAACCGACCGACCGAGCCGAATCGTCCGGGATGACTCGCCGCGCGTTTCACGCGGGTTCGCCGCCCGGCGTACGCACGCGCGCGACACTCAAATTCAAGGCGACAATCGCTTCTCGCGGCGGAGAAAGAACGTTACACGCTCTGCTCCGTTGCACCGATCACAAGCAAGCGCTGAGAGCGCGTGCTCTTGATTCCCGTTCGAAGCACACTGCACCCGACCGCTCTCAATGACTGTTCACCAACAATTGAGCCTACTAGCACTGGAACGCTCCCCTCTATTTCCTAACGTCGCGCGAGTAGGGGGCGAGAAAGGGAGAGAGAGAAGGTGAGTGTAGATGGTGACGCGAGGACGGCCGACCATTCGCGAACGAAGCCGAAGGGAGCGCTCGCGTCCGTCTCTACTTCCTACTCCGTTTTACCGACGAGAACGCGCGCGTTACCTGCTCTCGATGCACGATCTTAGGGCGTGAGCCTTTGGGCGACATCACGGCCCTACGTTAACGTTCTCGCTTTCTTTGCTCGCATTTTTCACAGCCTGGACTTATCGTATCTTTCTCCGTTATCTCCCTGAATAATATTTGGATTAAATATAATTAATAAAGCCAGGCGCGTTCAATTCTAATACCTTATACGTCTATGTAAAGTATCTAGTTACATGTATTTAAGTACTAGGCACGTTTTATGTATCTCTACTTGCAACTAGTTACATTTTTCAATTCAATAATAAATTTCCCCTCAATAGGGGAACCCGGGGCATGATGAAAACTGTAAGATTTAAATAAGTTTCATACATAAACATATTAAAAATAAATTAATTAACTTGGATTTTTGCATCAAAATATTCTTTGAACTACTTATTATAAGAAAAACACAAGTTTTGCTATGAAAAAATAGTTTTAAAAAATGAAATTATTGTTTTATTGAGAATGTAAATTATCCTAAATATACTTTCTATGCAAAATGGGGTATTTCACAAAATTTGTGTTTATTTCCTAATTGTTGATTTTGAAAATGTTTTTAAAAGTGATTCATGAAAATATGCAACATATGAAAATGTATTATTGCATGTTTAATTATTTATAATTATTTATTAACAATACTTTTCTTATAAAACGATAAAACTCTTCTTATTAAAAAGTTATTCTTAATAATAATAAGAAAAGCTATTTATTGTATTCATTCAGTATATTCCTAAAAAATATTTGAAGTATAGGGGAAAGTGGGATAGTTAAGAAAAATAATTGTAGAAAATAAAAATATTTATTTAAAAAAATTAACGAAACAAAAACAATCCTTATACTCTTCCTCATTAAATAATTAAACAATCTTTGAAAAATCAACAGTAAGTTTTTAAATAATGACAATTTTTCAAAAAATGATAAGAATTTTTCAACAATAATAAGAACAAGACAAAATTCCCGTTTTGCCTTATTATCGAGGTAAAATAGGAAATGATACGAAGTAAAGTCACGGTACATTTAATCTAACCCGCAGTGAGTACAGATACGCACATTTTCATCTTCTTCATCAACGTCAGCGCAGAAATTATGTGACCAACCTCTGCACATAACACAAACAACCGAACTTTCATCAGAGATTGTGGATATAAATGTATATTCCCCTATAAATATAATATATATTCACCTTTTAGATATATTTTCATATATACACACATATATGGTACATAATATCTGTATATTTTATCATTATATCTACTTGTAGTTTTAAATCACTTGCTCTTTCTATTCATAATATATTGCCAAAAATGAATTTGGTCAAGAACTTTTGCACACCACTGTATATATTGTACACAATATACACAATATATCCACAAGTAGAACAGGAAACCACGATGACATCAAAATGACAAGAAAACAATCGAATCGTGGTTGAAAGTAAGTTGTTAGTCATTTTCTCGTTATTTTAACATCATTTTTACGTTATCGCAATTTTTTCTGCCTTTTTGAATCCCTTTTGATGGATAGATTCAATCTCGAAGAAGTCACCAACCCTTTCTTTACCCACGGTCGCTGTTGCGATATCAATAATTAAACAGGAACTGGTAATGAGTTCTGACAATATCTTTCTAGAGAAATTATGCTAGTAATATATTTTTATATTAGTTTAAAGAGAGACATTGTAATGTAATACTTGTTCGTAAGTGTTAAAACATAACAACAATCGAAACACAATAGATATCGATACAATCGATATATTAACGAATCAGTGAGTGCTATGAAACTATGAGTGCTTGTCAATTTGTAACTAAACTGATAAATTACTGATAAATTAGAATAAGCAATAAATGATAAGTTAATTTTAAAAACACAAATGACATAATGAAAAAAACATATGAAACAATTCATAATAATTATGAAGAAATTTACGCCTATTTTTCTCGTTATCAAAAATTTTTTAAAATAAGATATCCTATGCAAAGAGACATGGCAAGATATTTAGATATCGTGAGATAATATTACGACATCCTATTGAAATAATCCGTAGTCTACCTACTGGAATATTTGTGAGATTGCGTTTGAAAACCTATGATAATTTGGAATATTTTCAGAATGTATGGGATATAATCAGCAATATTTCTATATAATTTACATTATCTACATAAACAACCACGTATATATCATGTAGAAAATACATAAACAGTCCACGTAGTTATAATCTTGAAATCTTTGGCATAATCCTGATAGTTACTACTGGGAAATATTATCGAGTATAACGAGGTATCCGAGAACGAACTCGACAACTGATAACTCAGGCGGAACGACGTCAAAATGATGAGAAAATAGCTAATACTTACTTTTCAATAATGATTTGATCATTTTCTCGTCAGTTTAACGTCATCGTGATTTTCTGTTCCACTTATAGAATCACCTTACGGTTTTTGTTTATTCGAATGTTCCGCTTATAGAACCACTCTACGATTTTTGTTTATTCGAATGATACTTTAATCTATTCGGACTTAAATCATTCGATTTGAAGCAGAAAAAGAGAGTACCCGGGAAAAAAAAATTATATCTAATTATATATAAATATATATAATTATATATGATTATATATGAATTTTGTCCATATATATGACCTTATATATGATCATATCTAATTATATATGTTCATATATAAAACGAAAATTGTCCAATGAAAAAAGGAAAATTTAATTCGATTAAACGTCGATATCATGGGCTATCATAAACATAAGCATTTACTTCAATTGTATCTTCACAATAGTATTCTTTTCAATGTCGACATATATAATTATATATGATCATATATAACCATATATGGACAAAATTCATATATAAACTTTTTTTTTCCCGGGTAGTCCTCTTTAGACGTCGATTTAATGATTCAATCTGCAAATGCTGCGATTTTCCACGCCGCTTTAAATTGTTAAACACACTATTCGATTCATCGTATACGAGTATACGTACATTTGGAGTAAAGTAAGCGCGCGTGAAACTGATAACTCCGTAAACACGGCTTATAAATAATTTATTGCTTACCAGTGTCTTCTTGATCTTACGAATTTCGCGTGAACCCAACTAGACGAGCATTCTACTTCTTGCCAGCCCTAACCTCTCTCTTTCGCTCCACTCTCTTCACCTTCTCCTTTCATTTTCTCTCCTTCGAACTTTTATCCTCGAAGTTCAACGCGACGTCGCATTCAAGCTGATAAATTGAATAGCTCACAGTCACTGCCGTAAACGATTCTTACCTCGAAATAGCAAACAAACGTAGAGCCGGGAGGCCTGTAAAGCATGACAGGATCTTGTCAACCGCTGTGCGTGATTATGGCGAGCGAACATGAATAATGGAATGTATAATTTATCGGTTTCATAGCGAAAGACCAGTATCGCGATGCAATGAGGTGAGGCGAGCGACGGCGAGAGGGGACAAGTACTTTGCGCGCGCACACGCACGCGCGTTGCAATTATAGGTTAATGCAACTTTCAACGTTGAAATAAATCAGCCTCGGCGAGGATCAATTTAATAATTTAGTTGAAAATGTCGCAAAGAGTACAGCTAAACTCACAGACGTGTCGCTTAATTTTGGGATTCTCAATAATGAAAATATTTTTGTATGCGATTAGAGCCCACGTCAAAGTGATTCCAAATGTAATCCTCTGATCTGAGCCTCTTATCGTTCTCAAAAAAATGGTCCAAAAAAGTTCGAGTTTCAACAATGACTCCATGTAAACAAAGATAAGTATCAGCTAGCATTGTCTGCTTTTTGTGAACGACAGAAATCTTCCCTTAAAACACGTCACTCATTTTGAATGTGAAGACTATCAGATCGAAATCACGCTAAGTTTAAGTCAGTCTTTTCTGACCGTCTGTTGGAATTGCGACTTTTGTTAGCCATTTTTATAAGGATGGTAAGAGACTCACATTAGAGAGTTTTATATTCGGAATCGAGTCAATGTGAACTTTAATCGTATGCAAAAAATTCATTATCGAAAATCAGGCAAAATTTGACCATCCTCTTTCTGTGCTGTTTTGGATCGTTAATTCAAAAGTGTGTTTCATCAAAGGTAAGTTCTAATAAACTTGTTATTTCATCAATATAATAAAAAGATAATAAATATTTATATCATTATATGATATAATAATTAATTTAATACAATCTATTATTTATTCTATGAATTTAATTAAAAAATTATAAAAACATACACTCCACCATCGATTGCCTCACTTCGTAACAATAATAAAAATTTATTTGGCAAATGTTTTAGCGTGATAACAAGTGCAAATCAAGTGAGCCGCGAAAGTTCAACTCTTGTGTCACAATAACCAAAAGTTTCATATTATATCAAAACCTAAGTATCCGAAAATTCCATTATGGAATTTCTCATGTTACAAGTGAAAGTTCCCTATTGTTTTTTGATATCTAGGACTCTTTCCTGCCTTCTTTTAACAATATTTTACATAACTGTGAACATCTCTTTTTTTTCGTGTTTTTCTAATACGCATTTTACTAATACGGTATCCAGTTGTTGAATAATTGTTTCATTGTTGAATATGCCTTGACAGCGTAGTGACATCCTCTCAATCTCAAAGATTTTTCGCTAATGTATAACACTAATATTTGAAGTTTATACGCGAAGTTGATACAATAACTATTTCAAAGTGAAAATTCATTTTTCCCGAAGCTTTATCTTCATAGTTGTCCATATATTCCAAATGAGATTAACATCAATAGACAGTAGAGTTAATGAA